ACATTGTCTATCACATCACTCAAGGTCCCCTGATGTAAAATCCCACAGGTTTCCTTTTTTAAGTCTGCTCCAGGAGAGCGCTGCTTGTCAAGCATCTGGCTGCTGTCTGAGGGTAGGAACACAAGAAATGTTACCTGTCTGCCCACCTGGGAGAGCAGTAGGTCTTGACCAGGTTTCCCCCTTTATCCTGATTCTCAGAAAACTCTGATACCTTTTGACCTGAATCACCTATTTGTGTATTTGTTGTGTATGTTGATATTTCTACTTTTTTCTTGTCCAGGTTTAAAAACATACCTATTTCTGTTTTTTTTGTTGTTGTTGCTATTTTAAACTTTTTAATTATAACACCAAAATATACTGTATGATTATTATGAATCTGTGGGGCAAATAAAAATAATCAATACTCTTATAAGGTAGCAATTGTAGCATATATGACGATTTGAGGAAAGGACCCTGTTTCCGTGGACCAATTGCAACTCTTGTGTATCAGAATAGAGCTGTGCTCCACAGGGGTTTCAGAGGCTGAGTTTTTGGTGATCACCAGGCCTTTCTTCCCGCGTACCTCTGAGTCGGCTTGACCCACCTATTGGTTGACAAGGAGCCCTGGTGACGTAGTGGTTATGAGTTGGGCGCTAACCTCAAGGTCCGCCATTCAAAACCACCTAGCCGCTTTTCAAGAGAAAGACAGGACTTTTTACTCCCATAGAGAGTTACAGTTTTGGAAACTCACAGGGGCAACCCTGCCCGAGAGCGTAGCTATGAGTCGGTTTATCGGTTAGTGGCCAAGTGTGTTAACTTGTTTGCACCATACCAGTTGTCCCCATAGAGATTTAGGTAAGTAGTATTTCCTTGTTTTAGAAAACGACAGCCAACGAATCCCGAGGTAGGCAAGCCGGGTCTGCTGATGGCTCTGTCCAAGCACCAGGCCCCACACCTCTGTCTTTCTGCTCTGTTTCCCTTGAATATGGAACCTAGAATAACTTCAAGGTCACTTTATGACCCAGGGGGGGGCTGTTGGAATGCATATGACCTGCATTCCATTGGGAAAGGAAAAGACCAGAAGAAGGGGCTAATTGCTGTGTCTTATAAACAGAATTCACTGCCACAAGTTGATGCTGACTCATAGTGACCCTACAGGACTGTCCCTGTGGGTTTCTGAGACTGTACCTCTTCACACGAATAGAAAGCTTCCTCTTTCTCCCATGGCGCAGCTGGTGGTTTTGAACTGCTGACTTTGTGGTTAGCATTAGCAGCCCAATGCATAACCCGCTATACTACCAGGACTTCTTACCAAGACAAAAGAAGAAAATTAATATTGGGAAGCAATTACTCTGATTTCTGAATCGTTCTCAATGCATATATATTCAATAAAGTTGTTAATGTTGAAGCTATATTTAATAGTTTATGGAAAGAATCAAGGTGTAAATAAACATCAACATCAACATAATAAATAACACAGATTACATCTTGTCACCCTGTAGGCTTTGTCACTCTGCCTTTCTGTAACTTTTTCAATTAATTTTCCATTTCTATACATACATATGTATGTGTACTTACACATGCACATTCACACTGATGCATGTATTTTTAATATTACCATATATAGATATATGCATATAAGGACACACCCATTCTAATAATGTATTTTTTAAAATAGTCAATTAACACAGACCTATTCAGGGCTAAAAGGGACCTTAGACAAAATTTCTCCAAAGGTTGTATATTCAGGTGCATGTCGGGACCATTTAAGGAACCCTGCTGGTGCTGGTTGTTAAACACAAGGTCAGTGGTTCAAATCCACCAGCTATTCTGTGGCAGAAAGATGAGACTGCCAGTTCCTATAAAGATTCCAGAGTCTCAGAAACCCTCTATCACTTTCACTCCAGTTGCCATCGGGTTGATTGTGAGTCACAGCAACCCTATAGCACAGAACCCTTTTGAGTTTCTGAGACTGTAACTCTTTATGGGAGTAGAAAGCCTCATTCTTCTCCCAAGGTGGGGCTGCTGGTTTCAAACTACTGACCTTGAGGTTAGCAGCCCAACGCATAATCCACTCTGCAACCAGGGCTCCTTCAAAAACCTGGGTTAGGGTTCCAGTAAGTCAGAATTGGCTTAGTGGCAGTGGGTCTGGTTTGTACAGGGACTCTTTAGGTACCATACACGATTGAGGTAGCCCAGGAGTCAGTGTGGAGACCAGACTAGGGAGTGGGAGGGACTGTGAAATTCTGGAAAGAGCCTGCCCTGTCTTAAAGGATCGGCTGCCACCTCACCTACATTCGTTATTGCCCCGTGGGACTGCTGGCTCAGTGTTGCTAGGTATTGTGATCCCCGCCCTGAAGAGAATCAGAAGTCTAGATTGTATGTGAAGTGGACAGTATAATTTTGCAACCAATTAATTTAATTAAAACA